CTCAGTATCGACACCGGTACCAGTATAGGTATCGGTGCATCCCTAGTAATTGCAACAGGGAATTGATCTGAATATCATTGACATGTCAAGAAACTTTTACTGAGGATGAACTAGGACCTTACAAGAGTTTTAATTACTTTTTTTTCTGGATCAACAGTATGTTATACATGGTATTGGAAAAGGTGGAACTTGGATATGTTTTCAGTCCATATGTATTCCTTAGAAATCTCTTTAATGAGGAGCTAGATAGGGGACAAGAAAGTTAAAGGAGAATTATGAGGCGAGTGATTTTCATTTAGCCTCATAATCTGAGCCGACCTGTAACAATGAAACGGTCACAGGTCGGCTCAGGAGATCGGGAAGTGAGCGAACACGTACCGGCGCTCACTCACTTCTCCATCTATCCGTGCAGAGAGCCCTGACTGTCAATCACCACTCCCTGCAGGGATTCCCCTCCCCTGTCCCATCCTCCAGCGCTGACTGGCGGACCGGACGGGGCGGGTACAGCTGGCTCTAGATAGGCAGAGCCAGCTGTCACTCACGCAGCTGGGTGGATCCAGACATAATTGTTGGGATCCGTTCCGGCTGCGGCGTCTCAGTATACCAGGAGCTGTAGCTCGCGGTATACTGAGCTTTGGGTGACGGGAGGACGCTAATTTGTGTCCTCCCGTTACCCTTAGGAGAACTATGGGGAAAAGCTCTAACCCCATAGTTCTCCTTTTAATGTATACATTTTTTTAAGACTGCAACCAAAGCTAAAACTCTGAACAGCATACATTCATAACCGTTACTATGTTTCATTCTTTGCTAGATGGATTATGTAATGCATTTTGCAAAGAGCGGCTTCCATAGTAACAGACCAGAACACCTTTTGAGCATCTTAAAGAAAGAACAGGAGATAGACATCCTTCTTGTATTGACAAAAGTAGTTTACCATGAAAGATCAAGCGTGTATATACCTGCCAAACTCTGCATATACTTGATATCTACTCTTTATTATAAGAAAAACTGTCACAAAATCTTTGTGACAGTTTGTGTCCCCAGTTATTTACAAACACTGGAGTGATCAGCCGATCGCTCCAGTGTTTGTCCTGCACAGAGGATTGGTACATACTAGTGACATGTACCGATCCTCTGCCGCTCGTCCACGCACAAAAAGGCTCAGCTTCTCCTCTGTATCCCCCTGCTCTCCCGGGCAGAGGCAGCGGGGGATCCGACGAGAAGTGAAAGAGCACTTCATCGCGCTACGCGATCGACTGGTAGATCGCGATCAACCTTGTGGGCACCCCTGGTATAGAGGATGTTTTTCCTGTCTTTTGAAAAGTAAAAAGACAATGAGGGGAATTTATCAAAACTGGAGCAGACAAAATCTGGGGCATCTGTGTATGGCAACCAATCGGCTTCTCTCTTTCATTTTCAAATCTTAACTGAACAAACTGAAGATAGAATCTGATTGGTTGCTCTGGGCAACTGCTCCAGTTTCTGTCTGCTCCAGTCTTAATAAATCTCCCCCAATGACTTTCCTAAGCCCTGTCTTTGTGATGAAAGTGAAACTATTCCTAAGAAGCATGAGAAAGCATGGAGTGTCTAGCTAAAGACTGTGCTAACTAGAGACAAATCAGGGGGGACAGAGGAACATGCCAAGGTACAAAATAAACAGGCTGCTGTGGCAACACACTCCATGCCTGGCATCAGTAGATACCACTCTGATAATAAGATAATGTAATTAGTTTGTCGGTGACAGAGTTGTTAGTTCTTACATTTACCAATGTGGACTGGGGCTTTGCCATGTGACACCACTTTGTTGATAACAAAATGAGTTACTTTCTGTTCAGCATCAATTATAAGATGCGTTTTCAACTCTTCTTTGCCTCTTTTCTTAATCAACCACTGGGGATTATTTGTAAAAACTGGAGCAGAAGAATAAGCATAGAAGTTACGTCTCCAACAGCCATGTTAATTGGATTTCCGCAGCTAAGGGACACATTTAAGTAAAAGCAGTGAATGTGACATTCATCAAACATTTACATTTGTTCATAATTTACTGAAAATTAAAACACATGTACCAGGAATATTCACCTACAAAGAATGTTTGGTGAATATCACAATTACTGCTTTCTAAGTATGCCCCTAAGTGTTTGCTTCTTATGTACGTATAAATTGTAAGGCTGGGTTCACACCTAGGCGTATCGAATATGCGCGTTTGTCCCGCGTTTCGTGATGCGCGTTTTTACTGCGATTCGCGGTAAAAAAATGCACGCCAAATGCGCGTTTCCGAGGGCTACTTGGCTGTATCCCAATGGAAACGCGCGACAAAAACGCCCTAACGAAGCTCCTGTACTTCTTTGGGCGTAGGGCGTTTTGTAACGCGTTCATACGGCCTGTAATACGCCCAGGTGTGAACCATACCCATAGGAAATAATGGGATTTTCGGTGTTTAAGCGTTTTGCAGAACGTTCAAACGCGCTACAAAACACCCAGGTGTGAACCAGGCCTAAGGATGCTCAGTAAACATACATCGATCGGCTTTGTAATTAAATGGCTGTCTTCAGATGTACCTGATTTAGCAACAACATTTCCTATTTAACTGAAGCTATTGACATTTATTGGTATTGTGCTGCCAGTGTTCTGTTTCTAAACGGCAAGAAAAGAAAAGTGAGCAGAGGAAATAAGCACTTATATTATACTGTATAGTTATATGCAGTTATATCCCAGAAGACAAATTGCTGCACTTCACATCCGCTGTCTTTACAGTTTGAGTTACGCCAGGTTTAACATATATTTTAACCACCAGAGGTCCCTCTAGCAGCTTGGCTTATTTTATATACAGTGGAATAAGTGTATAAAAACCTGTTTATTTCATGAATGTTAATCTTATACGTTATGTAGGTTTATCATTGCATATTATATTGTAATTATGGGAAATTCCTTATTGTTAGTTATTATTGGTATGAATAAAAAAATAACCTAGCAGTTGTAATATGACAGGGATAAAAATAAACCTCCTCATGTATCACTTCTCCCTCCCTTTTAGATTGTAAGCCCTCAGGGGCAGGGCCCTCCTTACCGTCTTGTCTTGAATTGTATTGTGCTTGTAATGTCTTCCTTATGTTGTAAAGCGCTGACAAAACTGTTGGCGCTATATAAATCCTGTATAATGATAATAAATGCAGAGCTTGGCTCAGATATCACAGAATGCTTATTTTTTTAATTGAAGTTTGGTGTATGCACATGCATGTTCATGTTAGATTAGCATACTTTCCTGTACATTGAGTTAACACCCCTAGTGCAAGTCTTATCCATGGGTAACAATAGCCATCAGCCTGGGAAATCTAGCCTGTCATTCGCAGTCAGCTGATATGTCTGCAGAATTCTTTAAGTATGTTTATAGGCATTTTTTTACATTTTGGATAGAGTGAAAAATTGGTAAAACTTCTTTCAGTTTTTGTTTCTTTTTTGTTGCTGTCGTCTGTGTTTTTTATTTGAGAGATTTTTCTTCTCTTCCTGTGTCAAGGATGCAGCCGGAAGTGAGAAAACTCTCTCTAAAGCAAAGAATATTGAAGGGAATGTATTAGGGCTGTGGAAATTAAAGATTCATTTCTCGATTAATTGTTAAACTTTTTGATCGATTAAAATTATTTTGATCACTAATGAAAACACTCACCTCTCCGCTGGCTTCCAGGAGTCCCGTCGGCGATCCAGCGACGTCACCTGACTCCTCCCCCCTTCCCCAAGTGGCTCCGTCGGCTAACAAAGGGAAGAGGGGAGGAGTCCAGTGACGCCGATGTCCGTGACGGCTAACGAAGGGAAGAGGAGTCCGGTGAAGTCGATGTCCATGATGTAACCGGACTCCTCCCCCCTTCATTAGCCGACGTAGCCACTTGGGCCGGTGAGTTTGCCCAAGAAACTTTCTGCACGAGCGCCAGCCAAGGCATTGGCCTATACACATACAGCACAGCAATGAAGTAATAAAATGAACTAGGATCACCCTATTCCAGCACGTTATTATTCTGAGTTGCCCCACTCAAGCGGCGGCCATATTGAGTGGGGCACGTGAGATTAATAACGTGCTGGATTAGTGTGATCCTAGTTCATTTTATTACTTCATTGCTGTGCTGTATGTGTATAGGCTAATGTAGTTGGATCTGTATGTGCGTTATAATTAATCGAAATTAATCGATGAAAAAAAATTTCGATTAATGGAACACGAAAATTTTAATCATTACCAGCCCTAGAATTGATCAAAACTGGGGCAGACAAAATCTGGAGCAGCTGTGCATGGCAACCAATCAGCATCCAACTTTCATTTTCAAATCTTAACTGAACAGAGAAGCTGGTTGCCATGCACTGCTGCTCCAGATTTTGGCTTCTCCAGTTTTGATAAATTTCCCCCGCTGTCTTTTAGACAGTTGTTGCTTAAACATGTATTATTGGAAGGTTCCCCTGCTATTCCTGCTCGAGTGAAAACTCAAAATGTTGATTTTTTTTTTTTTACCTCACTTTCAGTCCCTGTGAGAATGGTCACCAGGATAGATAGACAGAGTGAATTTGCCCAGGAGGGAAAACCACTGAAATAAAAACCTGACTATGGTTATTCAAAACCAGGAAAATGGCTTTATATACACTTTAGATTTTCATCCATATACCGTAGTTCCACTTTTGGGATTAGATTACAATCATGTAAAAATCTGTGGCTACCTTAAGAATTAAATAGTTTATGCCAGCTGTACTTTACATTGACACTGTCATGTCCACCAAAGTCTGTATATTAATATTAGAAATGTGCAGGCACCTTGTGGTGCCTGATAGTACCTGTATTTGTTTTCAGATCAGCTTTGTGCATGGGAAGGTCACTGGCTCCTAGGGCCAGGCTGGCGGGTAACAATCAAAAGTTCTAGTTACCGTGTGTCTCTTTTACCATATTATATAACCATAACATTTGTTCAAGTGATAAATTATATATATATATATATTTATTTATTTTATTCTTATTGTTCCAGGTTGTCAGAGACCAATAGGTCTTTCCAATGGGAAAGCAAAAGTATGCAGTTATAGCGGCTGGTACTACTGTAGTACCTGTCATGTGGACGATGGCTTCATTATACCTGCCCGTCTTGTTCACAATTGGGACACTTCCAAACACAAGGTATGGTCAACTTACATTTGCAGCTTTTTTTTTGCACATATGTATTTATTGGTCTTTGTTATATACATTGGGTCTTGGAATGGTGTTATCAGTGGAGTAAAGATATCAACAAGCATCATGGTGAATACAAAACCTTTGTCTCACACATTCAAAACTTTCAGTTGTTTCAGTATTTCCAAAACATTGGGTACCACAATTTACACCATTTCATTTATAGGATAACACCATGCATGTTTACATTTATGTTTTGAGTGCCTTTGTAATGCACATGGTACAAGGGCCAAAAGGTAAACTCTAAATATATTTAGAATGCTTGCATTGTTTTAAAACAACCAGGCTGTGTACAGTTGCAAGGGGGAAGGGGGAGAACGAGAGACCCTCTTCTTCACTGATCAATAGCTCTGACAGTTCGTCAGTCTGTGGCAGAAGCTCACAGCTGACAATAGTATCATGTAGGAAAAAATGTAGAGCCAAAGGAAATCTCACCGCTCCAATTCCTTAGCCACCATCAGGATTCCCCAGGTGCTGGTCCAATAGGTGCATCTCCACCTTGAAATGTAGCAGTATACGAACAGACCGCACTATCCGGAGAATTCCAATACTTCAGACTTTATTGAAATTCACAGCAAATCCAGTATAACAGTGAATAAAAGTATATAAAGCAACAAATGCCAGCACTGCACACACCCAACCAACTACAAGCTCTCACTTGTTTCACCTGAAGGCTTATTCATAGAGGTAACAAATACAGACCAGTATCTCACTTAAATGTGTTTAAAAAACTCCACTACAAATAAAGCTAACATTTTCCGCGTCCCCATCCTCCCTCCGGATGTAGAGAAAAAGCATTACACATAACTTCTCTGGACTAATCACAATTTAGAAAGTACTTTTTGCAGGAGTTAAACTTTAAAAACCACCTTAATTTTGCCTTCCCCATTGACTGCTGAAATCTCCTGATTTTCTCAAAAATTTCAGGGAAATTAAAACTCTCAATTTCACGTATTCCTACTGGTTAATCTCAGGGGAAACTAGCAATCAGGCATGGTAGAGAACCTATGGGAAGCTTTAGTTGTACTGCAATACTCCTGATTTCATCTTATCATTATATCATGATATAATGAGGCTGGATGTAGACTAGCAATTGCTTAATAAATTTGGTGAGGAATCTCCATGCACCTGGTTGTCTTATTTGTATTTCTGACTTCTACTTAAAGCTGTCCACGGGCTCCAAGTGGACCCAAATCTCCCCTCAGTGTTTTTGAAGCAGATAGGTCTTCCATGCTGTATAGGTCGTCAACCTTTAGCCATCCACACGTGAAGGGATCGGGGGGGTCGTGCATTTCCAAAGTATAGGGATACATGCCCGAGCAGCATTCAGCAAGAGGACGTTCAAAGATGATTTGTAGCGACTTATAAAGCTTTCTTAAAGGTGTAGCAGGCATGTCGCCAGGTCGTTTTTAAGTTTCATCATGGTCATCTGTTCGATGATCTCCAGGACCTGATCCCAGAAGGGGGATACCTTCGAACATGTCCAAAAAATGTTGAGAAGGGATCCAGGGGCCTTCCGGCAGTGCCAACACAGAGGCGAAACCTCAGGAAACATTGTATGCAGCAGCGCCGGTACTCTGTACCACCGGGAAACTACACTATATTACCAAAAGTATTGGGACACCTGCCTTTACACGCACATGAACTTTAATGGCATCCCAGTCTTAGTCCGTAGGGTTCAATACTGAGTTGGTCCACCTTTTGCAGCTATAACAGCTTCAACTCTTCTGGGAAGGCTGTCTACAAGGTCCAGGAGTGTGTCTATGGGAATGTTTGACCATTCTTCCAGAAGCACATTTGTGAGGTCAGGTACCGATTGTTGGACGAGAAGGCCTGGCTCATAGTCTCCGCTCTAATTCATCCCAAAGGTGTTCTATCGAGTTGAGGTCAGGACTATGAGCAGGCCAGTCAAGTTCCTCTACCCCAAACTCGCTCATCCGTGTCTTTATGGACTTTGCTTTGTGCACTGGTGCGCAGTCATGTTGGAACAGGAAGGGGCCATCCCCAAACTGTTCCCACAAAGTTGGGAGCATGAAATTGTCCAAAATGTCTTGGTATGCTGATGCCTTAAAAGTTCACTTCACAGGAATGAAGGGCTAAAGCCAAACCCCTGAATAACAACCCCACACCATAATCTCCCCTCCACCAAACTTTACACTTGCACAATGCAGTCAGGCAAGTACCCTTCTCCTGGCAACCGGCAAACCCAGACACGTCCATCGGATTGCCAGACAGAGAAGCGTGATTCGTCACTCCAGAGAACACGTCTCCACTTCTCTAGAGTCCAGTGGGGGCGTGCTTTACACCAACGCATCCGACGCAATGCATTGCACTTGGTGATGGAAGGCTTGGATGCAGCTGCTCGGCCATGGAAACCTATTCCATGAAGCTCTCTATGCACTGTTGTTGTGCCAATCTGAAGGCCACACGAAGTTTGGAGGTCTGTAGCTATTGGCTCTGCAGACAGTTGGCGACTTCTGTGCACTGTGTGCTTCAGCATGCGCTGACCCCGCTCTGTCATTATACGTGGCCTACCACTTCGTGGCTGAGTCGCTGTTGTTCCCAGTTGCTTCCACTAACAGTTGACCGTGTAACATTTAAGTAGCAAGGAATTTCACGGAATACCTGAATCCAATGATTTGGAGGGGTGTCCCAATACTTTTGGCATTATAGTGTATCTTATAGCTGAGTGCTTGGACTTTGCATGCAATAGAGGATTTGTGAGCCATTAAGTATATGCGGTCTTGAGTGAAACGCATGTCAAGGTCTCTTTCCCACTAGGATTTTTAATGTAGCTGTTACCATTGAGAACTAGAGAAAGGCACTAGCTGTAATTTGTAAGTAATATTGGCTGCCTGGGATAATTACCTGCTGCTCAGCTTGTATTATTACATTTATGATATACTGAAATAAAGATAAAAAGCAACCACCCTTGGCAAGGGTGACAAATGCTGCATCTTCTGTTAATAAGAGCCAATCTGCACAGTGGAACAGAAGAGGCTTAACTACAGTTTTTTTTTTTTTTTTTAAGATCTGCCAATCTGCTCCAGCAGGCGAATAGAAGCAGGTCTACAATATAATTTGAAAGAAGATAAGTCCATGATAATAATAATCATGTTTTCAATCAATATATATAATCGTGAAATTAAGTTTCAAGATTATATATAATGATTGTACATATGATTTGTATATCATCTTAAAACAAATCAAGTTTATATGTATGTACAGATGATTGGTAATATCCTGGACTTACCCTTTTTTCATGTGACATTGTAGACATGATTCTATTCTGATGAAGCAAATCATCAGATCTGAGAAATCCATTGAGTTAAGCTGCCTCTGTTCCACGTCATAATTTAGCTCGTATTACCAGAGGATACCCAAATCAGGTAACCTAAAAAGAGACTCTTCCTTGGAATGGAGTCTTCACAGTGCTTTTTTGGCCACATACTTACAAGTTACTTCCAAGGCAACCAGGCATTGGCAGCTGTATGCCATTAAGTATTCTGTAAGATAGAAGGAATACAGCTCACCCATAGAAATGCCATGGTACTTGGGCACACTGATAGGAGTAGCCAGCTGGGAGATTTTTAGGAGAGAGTGTTTGGGCAGCACAGTGAAGATTGCTGAAACAAAGGAAGATACGTTTTTGACACATCATTCTGCAGAGGGGTAAAAGGGCAATTAATAAATGACAAGTGCAAGAAATACATATACTATGTGGCTTTTTATTGCGATTTTAGCAATAATATGGTATGGTATGGTGAATGCTTGTCTTATACACTCAAAGACACTAGAGGGGGAAGGTACAGATTTTACACGGAATATAATCCGGTAATGTGAAACAGTAAAAATGTGAAAGTCATGTCAAAGATTACTTTCAAATAATTTAGTTTTAGTAATAATTCTATATACACTGTCTGCCTTTAAAGAGAACATTTTCCATCGTATAGTTTATTATGGTCGGGGCTTAAAACAATGTTTTTTCTCTTTTCTAGTCAGGTAAATATAAGATATTGCATATGATTATTGTGTATTCTCCTTTGAGCCAGCAGGTAGAACTCTTGTCTCCTTTTTACATTTTCCAAGCTCTCACTTATCTGATGTAAAAAGCCTGAAAGAATTCATTGTTTTTAGAACTTTATTTGTTCACAGTAGAGACTCCTCCCTCATCAGATGTCATGACCTGAGATTTCAATTACACAACGGGAGCTGCAAAACAAGCTGTGTATGTTGTTTCTTTAGCTAACCCATAATACTGTGGAAATCCATTGTCTTGTATCACATGTTTATTTGTAAATCAAAGATTATGTCTTTATAGCAATAGGAGTTATAACACAGCCAATGTATACCACTGTAATAAGTTACACAACTTAAATTAAATAATAACTTAAAATCAAAACTAAAATAACACTGAATCGCTAACCATTATAATTTTCTTTATTACCTTTATTTCCACGGAGAACTGTCCTCAGATTAGCAGGAAGAAGGTTTAGAAGTAACATTTGGAAGTACTACTTTATAGAAAGAATAGTTGATGTTTTGAACAGACTCCCATAGGTTTTGAGTCAGCCAAAAGTAAATTTAAACATGGTTGGAAAAAAATAGATTTACACTCCGAACAAAAAAAAGTAATCAAAAAAGGGGCAGACTCAATAGACTATATGTCCTTTTTCTTCTGTCACTCTTCTTTGTTTCTCTATTTCATGTTTAAATAAGCATATAAACTGGAATTGCGTCACATTTGTTATTGTGATTTTAAAAAACAATTATTGTACACTGAATGTATCTCAGTGTGGATTCTTCTGTAGTGTGAAACCAAAACTATAAGATGCAGATTTGTAAATACTGGATTAATGTAAAAACCATGGAATTACCCAACGCCACTACTCTTGTTTGACTCTCTCATAGGCTTGAGGAAAAATTCAAATCTGAATAGTTTTAGTAGA